TGGTCTCTCCATAATACAGAGGCTAAGTGGATGGCCACGTCAGGTAGAAAGTCTGATGAATGCCCTCCACTGAGCTTTTCCAAAATTAGAGGGAATGTTTCAGTTATACATACAGGCCTCTCCTTTAGGACTATATAGCTACACTGATTGAGCCCTGTACACACAACGTATACTTAGGGCTGCAACTAACGATTATTTGCATTGGCTGATTATTTTTTCGATTCATTGGATAAAAAAAATAAAATAAATGCAATTTACAGAGTCCTCAATCTCTCTTTCTGCATCCCCAGCACTCATTGAGCACGAGGCACTCAGTAGAGAGGCTTCCTGTTCATTCATAAATCGAGGAGATAGTATCTGTTTACCATGTCCACGAATGAACAGAAAGGGATGTAGAGCGCTTCCTGTTCATTCATAATTGGGGACACAGTATCTAAATACTATGTCCTCAATACTGATCACTGCGACGTCTGCATATTACAAGGAACGATCAGCAAATATTTCACATATTTGATGATCATCCCGCAGCTCTCCTCCCTGCTTGGCGCCAGCAGGTAGATCGGCTCGGTTTCAAACCCCACTGCTGATACAGGCGGGGGAGAGCAGCGGGGATCGGAGGGGACACAGACCAGCGGGCAGGAGAGCTGCATAGCCGATGCGGGTTGCCGATTTGGTGGAGCTCTATTCCCCGCTCTGCACCGGCTACATGGGTCTGTGTCCCCTCCGATCCCCGCTGGGAGTAGCAGGGATCGGAAGGGACACAGAACTGATGAAACACCGGCTCCCAGTGTGCAGGAGAGAACTAGGGGACCTAGACCAACTGTGACGTTAACAACAATTCTCATTATCGATTAGTTGGTTTCAGCCCTACGTATATTGTTACCTAATACATGCTAGTCTGAGAAGCATTACATTCAGCGAGACGGTCACAAAGCACTGAGCAACTTTTTGAAAGCTCTTAAAACACCATTCAGCCCCTGAGTTTTGGATACTGATCACAATGGGAGTGCTGGTTGTAGCTTTAAACTTAGCAGGCTGCTGCATCCTGCTAAATGCTTGATCGGCACTACAGCCGCCATTCCCTTTTAAGTGATCCTGTTAATCACGTCCAAAAGCCCCAAAAGAGGTTCCCTGCAATAGGAGGCGGGTTATGGGCAGCACAGTGGTTAGCACTGGGGGCCCCCGATTTGCATCCCAGTCAGGACACTATATGGAGTTTGCACATTTTCCCCGTGCTTGCGTGGGTTTACTCCAGGGACTCCGTTTCCTCCCACACTCCAAACGCATGCTGGTAGGCTAATTGGCTCCGGTTTAAATTGGGCCTGTATATGAGATCGGGACCTTAGATTGTAAGCTCGAGGGCAGGGACCGATGTGAATGTGTAATATGTCAAGCGCTGTGTAAATTGTTGGCGTTCTATAAATACCTGTAATAAATATACTCGCCTCTCTGGTGGCTTGTGTCTCCTACCTTTCCACTAGACGCTTCAGCATTTCACATTGCCAGGTGTGTCACATGCCTGTGTCCACCACTGCCCAGGCCTCAGCAGGGACGGAGCGAACAAAGGATGGAGCTATAGCACACAGTGGGGGGCATCTGACATTCCTGGAAGTGTTGAATGTCAAAGAGAATATCAGAGGCTGCTGCTCTGGATCAGAGAGAGGGCAGCAGATACAGACTGTGGCAGAGGGAAGTCTAAGCCCTCGTTCACACCTGAACGTTTTGTAGCGCGTTCTACGCTCGACGAACGCTCAAAAATATAAATCCCATTGTATTTAATGGTCTCGTTCCCACCTTGGCGTATTTTCGCCCGTCCCTAACGCGCTACAAAACGGCCCACGCCTGAAAAGGTACGGGTACTACTTTGGGCCGTTTTGTTGCGCGTTTCCATTGGGATACAGCCAAGTAGCCTTCGGAAACGCGCGACAGACGCGCATATGCAATACGCCTAGGTGTGAACGAGACCTAATAGTTTGTCTATTGCAGAGTAGCTCTATTTGGATTTTTTAAAGAAATTGATAAGGTGGCTTAAATTTCTGTGTTGGGCCCTCCCCAAAAGAGGGTGGGGTAGAGTGCTAAAGGCCTCCTTACAACGTTGCTTCATGCTTTGTGACGGATTCCTAAATGAGATGCTTTACAGAAATAGTGTTTTAAAGTTGCCCATGGGTACAGACCCTCCTGCATGACCCATCTTACTCTGCAGTGAGCAGTTTCCTATCTTTCTGTTTAAAGAGGAACTCCAGCATATACCATGTTTTAGTGAGAAGTTATCTGATGATTACTGAACCCCAGAAAGAAGAGACACTGGCTTCAGTCACCCGTGTACTCACATGAAGAAATAATGGAAACATGTGAAGTAGGATTGGATGCAATAAGCATATAGCTTTAGAAATTCAGTTCTGGAACAGGTTCATTTTAATGCCGGACCAAGTAGTTGCACACACTTGCCTTCCCTTTGCTCCCCTGCCACTGTTCAGATGTGACTTGGAGCTTACACAGTGCTCAGAACTCCCTTCCCACCACCATGTGACAGTGCTGGGTGCCTGAGCACCACCACCACCTTGTGGGATGAAGGGAAGTCAGTCACGTGATCACCATACCTTGCCGGTATTTTCCTTTTCTTCCAGCAGCCAAACAGAGTAGCAGGGGAGCCAAAGATAAGACAGGTATTGCTAGGGATGACTTTAAAATGAACCTCTTTCTTCAACCTGCATCTTTGAAGGAAGCCTGGCCATTATGTTGACCGCTTAGGGTACAATAGGTTGAGGCACAGACTCAGAATGAATATGTAGGAAGATCAGATATGCTCGTTTGGGGTTATTGTGTCAAATTTCCAAAGCCAATAAATAAATATCTTTCAAATGAAGGTCGACAATGGCAGCTTCTGTTTCTCACTTGACAGGTTTCCTTTAAAGAGAAACTATCACACCCAAAGTTTCACCAGCTGCCATTGGCCAGCTCCTAGAACATTTGTAGCAACCTCTGGTCATCCAGCTGTGGTGCAGCTACAAATCCCATTAGGCATTGGAAATCTGACAGCCACAGACCTGATTCAGAGGAAGAAGCATGATGGGATTTGTTGTCTCACCATAGCTGGAAGGCCAGAGTTTTCCTACCCGTATCGTAGATGCGGAGCTAGTTATGGAGAAGTTGGATGCAACAAGTAACAGCTGACCTGACAGATTCTCTTGATCAAGCAATTTCAACCAAATAGATCTTCACAGTGGGTGCAATCGGAGTCTTAAGCTGGCCATACACTTTACAATTATCTGCAGATTTTCAGTGGTCAGATGGAAAAAGTGCAACAGAATCCTCCATCTATGCTAAGCTGTGTGGATGGAGGAATCCCCAACTGGGCCAACCTGTTGCACTTTTTCCATCTGACCACAGAAAATCTGCAGATAATTGTAAGGTGTATGGGCACCTTTAGAGATTGGGTCATATTGAAGGATCTGTGTAAACACAGCAGAAACAACCTCCCTGCCATACGAGCTGTGCGACGCAGAAGACTGGAAGTGTCTGACCACCATGTACCACGGGCTCAGTTGATCCTTAGGGGCACAAAGGGCATTGCAACAATCACTGAAGGCCTATTCCCACCTATACATTTTTGCCCAGATGCATTTGTCATTGAAATAATTTTGATGCATTTCTACTCATTTCAATGGAAAACACATCAAAGAAAATAATTAATGTAAATAGGCCCTGGAGGTCTACTAGATGCCTTTAGATGTTTGCCAGAAGATAGCGAAGAGTTTAATGATATTAATGACAGGTTTGCTTTAAAAGGCACCTGTAATGTTGGAGAAAACAAAATCCTGGTGAAAGACTACACTTGCTTTTTGTTTCCTAGTTGAAGGTTAATTTGGATTTTTTTTTCTATAAAAAGGTGACGATCAGCTCTGCTAGGACAGATACAAAGGCTACCATTGTAGACTTGTCCTTTACAATGCCTTTTCCTAGCCTACCATCCGGATTCCACCTACACCCCTTAGTGAGTCACTGACTAAGAACAATCGTGTGCTTATCAGATGTCCAGACACCATACACACACGGTCGCTCCAGGTCAGCTGCTCGCCAAGTAAGGAAGTCAGGATCGATATGACAGGGATGGCAATGCACCTTCAGAAACAGCTGAGCAACAAGACCGGTTTCTTTGAACCAGTTTTGGATAAAAGAGGTCACGTTGTGGAAGAGCTTGGTGTCCTGAGGGGTTTATAAGACAGAGGAGTCCATCTTACCCAACCTGCCACGGCAGCACTCAGACCATATGGAGGCACACATGGCTAGAGTAAGCCATAAGATTCCAAACCACTGTAGGTACCACATAAGGTGTCTACCTCTTTCCTCCTTCACAGACTGTTTCCTACAAGTACAGGTGCGTTTTCAGGACAAGAAAATCTGCAACTAGCATTTCACTAGCATTTCAGTTCAGAGTGAATGCTAACGGACTAAACCATCTCCTGGCTTCCTGTTTACTCATTGGAGATCCTGACTAACCATTATCGAGACTATTAAAGCTCAACGCCAGCCAAAATTTGTCTTGGATAAAACAGGGAGTTAAAATTTCAGTCAGGATTTCATCTCTATCTGGGACCCCATTGGGGAGTATTTCTGTATCTATCCCGTATGTTATACTCATAGAAAAAATGATAGAGGTGGGAAGGGGAATTGTTCGATTGTCACTGAAACAGGAAGGTCCAGAAAGCAATACAAAGTTCTTACTCTTCCTCACTCTAAACATGTTTTATCCATGTCTTGTCGGGACAAAAAAAAGATGGACACTTGCCCCCCCCATACCTAGAATTATCACTTTGTTAGCTAGGGCTCGGACGGGAAGGGGTGGCTGCATGGGAGTATGGCCAACTTTACATAACTGAGCTATCTACAGATTCTGTCACTTTGCCAATTGAAGGCAAAGTGCCAATGTCTCTCTAAGAAGCCCAGCAAAATCTCCCCCTCCCCACACGGCAGTAAAGAAGGTGCAGCTCGGCGACGTTTCCAGGGGGGCCAGTAAGTGAGAGAGACCGCCAGCATTCACCCAAACTGAAATGGCAGATTTGGATGTATTTACCCTTTTACCACTAGATTAACAAAACAAAAAAAGTGTCAGCGGGTCAGTGAACGGAGCCATTACTCTGATCGTCCAGTGCAATCTTCCCAAGGATCTGCTGTTCCAGGTCGTTATTACCCACCGGAAGCTGAAAGAAGTTTATTTCGGCGGCTAAAGTGGCCATAGCAGTGGGGTCCTGCCCAAACTGCGCCCGGAGCATCATGTCCATTTTCTCCAGGCGCCGTTTCAACCGCTTGGCCTCGCGCTCCTTAACTAGTCTGGCCTGACGCTTCTCCGGCGTCTCGTTGGCCCGTTTTAGCCGCATGGCCTCGCGATCCCTCTGGAGGCGTCTTGCCCGCTGTTCGTCCGTCTCCTGCATCCTCTGTTGTCTCTTGGCTTCCCGGTCTCTCATTCTCCTCACCTCTCGTTCCTCAGGGGTTTCGCTGTCTCGCCGGCTTTTCTTGGCGGTGCGTTCTCGCTCCAGGCGCTGCATCCTGGCCTGTACTGGCTCGTTCTGTCGGCGGGTTGACCACTTGCGCACCGCGGGGGTCTGAGCTGACATCATCTTACGATAGGCCACGCAGCTGTTGCACACGAGTAACACTCCTGCTGGGTAGATGGCGTTGAAATCCACGTCCTTTTCTTCCACACCATTGGGGGTTTTGTGATCGTCCTGGTTCCAAGAGTCCGAAGACAAAACTTCAGGTAGTTTCTCACTGAAAGGGAAATAGAAGAGACTTACAACAAGGTCCTAGAAAGCTACACAAGTCAAACACGTTTAGGCAACTGTGGAGAAATGGATAGCTCTCTAGTGGAGTGGATATTTAAATACGGATAGTATCAATACATAAATCTGTCTTGATATTAGCTTCATGTTATAACCTGTAAAGCAGCACGCAAACACTGAGAGGAAGGGGCAGCACTCTGCGCCAATCAAGGCTCCAGTGCTGTGTACAATGCTGTTAGTTTAACACTGGACATGCTTACAGGAGGGGAGAGAACAAGAATTACAACAGTATGCCGCTTCTCTTTCACTGTCCAATCAGCAGGCACCGTGCAGGGAGTAAATGAAGCAGAACTTCAGCAGCCAATCTGAAATACCACCACCTCTCAAGTGGCTGGGTACCATTACCATGATTTCTATGGGGAAGCTTGATGAACTGGAAGAAGCTTGAAGCTATCAGAGTAAAGCAGTGGATACCACAGTGGCTTAGCGGTTAGCACTTCTACCTTGCTGCACCGCGGTTTGATCCCTCCTCCTTCAAGCTGGCTGGCCACACATGAACTGCCTTTTCTCCATTGGTCCTAGATTCTGCAGGGAAATTCTTTCTCTGCTAGGGCCTATGGAGAAAATGCCACTCAGGTAGCAAACGTGGAGCTTGCACAGGGCTAAGGACTCTCTCAATCCCCCACGTGGCAGCACTGATTTCCTGTGTAGCCAATCAACAAAGTTGTCACCAAGGAGGAAAGAGAATGAAATCATCATACCCTGAAGTACTAAGTATTTCCCTTTGGTCCTAAAGTCTGCAGGGAAATTATTTCTCTGCTAGGGAGAAAATGCTGCACAGGTAGCGAACTTGGAGCTTACACAGGGCTAAGGACTCTCTCCGTCCCCCATGTGACAGCACTGAGTTCCTGTGTAGCCAATCAACAAAGCTGGCACAAAGGAGGAAGGAGACTGATTTACATGATCCCTTTGGTCCTAGAGGCTGAAGGGCCTGGTGGGGACGTGGGCAGTTCAGTGAACCTGTTGCTTTGCCCTGCATGAATAAACCATAGTTTGACTTCAAGGGCTAAGACTATTATTATAATACGAGGTTTATAAAGTGCCAACAGTTTGCACAGTGCTTTACAAAATAAAGAGAGGCAGTACAGGTACAACACAGAAGGGTTCGGAGGGCCCTGCTCATGAGAGCTTACAATCTAAAGATTGAGATTATTTCAAATGTTAGTTCTCTTTACATTCACCTCTCACCTATTGAACGTGGCCAGGGTGGAAAACTGAGCCCCGCAGACAGCACAGTTGGAAAGCTGATCGTCTGAATGTATAAGCAGGTGGCGTCCCAAAGAACCCGGAGAGCTGAGAGCGCGGCCACATACTGGGCACAGGTAGCTTTTTGCACTGACCACTGCAGCTGTGTGCTGGAAAGAAAAACAGACAGAAAGGGATATTGTAGAAAGTCTTCAATATAATATAATATTCATCTCAATTTCTTTTTATAGTCCAAAGGCCTATTGTGCAACCCAGAATTACAAGGGCTCATTGAACAGTTACAGCTCACAGTCATTTAATTAGGAGCTCCAGGGAAAATGATTAATAATCCTTGCAGTGGGGCTAAGTCGTGATCCGCTCCGGCTGCGGCGCCTCAGTATACCACGAGCTGTAGCTCGCGGTATACTGAGCTTAGGGTAACGGGAGGACGCTAGTTTGTGTCCTCCCGTTACCCTAAGGAGAACTATGGGGAAAAACACTGACCCCATAGTTCTCCTTTAACCCCACTGGAAGGGTAATCATTTCCCCTGGAGTTTTGCTTTAAATCAGCTTACATCAGCTGTTTCATGCTTGTTAACTCTCTTCAGTGGAAGATGCCCACTGACCTGATACACGTGACTAATAAGCTGCTCCTGACTTTCACACTCCAGCTGGCACAGTGGGCACAGATACAGAACAGAATCCAGGTGGCCAAGGTTCTGGGGATCCTAGAATGTCAGAAAAAAATGAATATCATTCACAATTATGTTTAATACATAATTATTAATTACTTTTAGGCACAGCATGCCTTCTGGATCTATAGTGTCTAAAGCTGGCCATACACCTATAGATTATCTGCAGATTTTCTATGGTCAGAGGGAAAAAGTGCAACAGATTCCTCCATCTACGCTAACTGTGTGGATGAAGGAATCTCCCACTGGGCCAAGCTTCAGTAATCTTGCTAGTCGGCCTCGCTGGCTGTCAATACCTGCATCCAATCAGATTGTTCAGGAATTTTGACAGCCAGCGGGGCAGACTAGCAAGATACTGAAGCTTGGTCCAGTGGGAGATTCCTCCATCCACACAGTTTAGCGTAGATGGAGGAATCTGTTGCACTTTTTCCATCTGACCATAGAAAATCTGCAGATAATCTATAGGTGTATGGCCAGCTTTAGTCCCAGGATTCTTAACAGAATCCAGTTTTTACATCATGGAGAACCCCGGGGTTTGGAAGACCCTGGGGCTCCCTGATAAAAAAGAAAACCTGTGAGGACCTGTAATCAGATACCAGTGACAATATAGTCATAGTGGCTTTACAGGTACACCGTTATGGATTAATAAAGTCACATGCAGGATCAACAAGGCACCAGCTATTTGGAAGGAAGGTTAGTTTGTCACCTTTATTTCACCTGACAGGTTCTCTTTATCATCTGCAAATATCAGATCCAACTTACTACACTAACAGAGCGGCTCTCTTTTCGTCTGCTGACTCCTGGCTCTTCTCTGTCACCGCTGTCCTCTTCTGAAGCGGGAGAAGACAGGTCATCGATTGTAGTCTCTTCTTCATCACTGTCACCTGAAGTACACATAAACGAGGCGCCTTACAGAGTCAGCAATTCTGTCAACTAGTACACGTAAGAATACAAAGAATGACTGAAATAAATATCACACACCCTACACTCCTTACTATAGATGTTAGTTCAGAAGTAGATCTTAAAAAGGCATTAAAAGGGGCTCATTGCCATCTGATCTCTGTTATACACAACACAGACAGCATTTTTTACGGCCCATTCATAAGTCAGCGATGTTTTTTTTGTTTAAGGCAACAGAGAGCTCTGTGATTGGAAGAGAGCCAGTCATGTGAAATTGACAGGTTGCATGAACAGGATCTCTTCCGAGCTTCCCAGGACAGTGTCAGCACCAATTCAGAGATGATTTGAGGATCTAAAGCCAAGTGATACACAAATAGGATACATTTTTGTTATTAGTTAAGGTACTTGAATGCATTTTTAAGATTTAACTGCAGGCTGCCGCTTCACTTAGTTGTAAAATCTTCCCCTCATAGCCCCCTTTACAGCTGCCGGATAGTGCCCTCATAGCCCCCTTTAACAGGTTCATGTTAAAGCTTCTGTCCCCAACTGCACATACTCACCTTCCCTATGTTCCCCTGTTGCTCCATTCGGCTGTCAGGAACATAAAGCACAAGCTTTGTTAGTTCAAAATGGGGGCTTGGATCTTAGACAGGGTTGAGAACTGTCTCCTTGCTCACATTTGACAGCAATGGGTGCCTGAGCCGCCAATCACCAATGCTGTCACCTAGTAGGAATGGTGTGAGCTTCAGGGCTTAGTATTCCCTCCTTGCCGCATGGGACAGTGCAGGGCACCTAAACGGCCACCACTGTCATGTGACAGGAAGGGGCAATCACAGAGCTAAGGGCTCTGGCCCTCCCCATGAGACAGCGTAGGGTAGATTTGAAGCCAATCAACAAGCACCAGCGCAGTCATGTGGGAGGAAGGGGTTAGTCACATGTTTTCCAGTCTTTGAAGTATCCAGTACTTACCAGGTATAGCAAAACACAAGACCACAGCATGAGCCTGCTTAGGTCACAAAACAGCAGGGTGTAGGGTAATGTTAATCTTTATAATACAGCAACTTGGCACACTGACAAAACCACAGACAGACACCGTGATGGCCCAACACATACTGGACATGCGGCTAAACTACAGTAAAAATAACCCCTGTCCAGCACAGCCCACAACAACCTACGGCACGGGTAGGCAACCTTGGCACTCCAGCGGCAGTGAAGATACAAATCCCATCCCGACCATGCCTCTGAGAGTCATGTCTGTGGCTGTCCATGTCTTGCAATGCCTCATGGAACTCATAGTTCCACAACAGCTGGAGTCCTGGGGTTTCCACTTCAAGACGTTCTGTTCACTCTTGGGCAAACTGTTGACCACAAAGTGACTGAGGTTTTGAGAGACATGGGCTTGGCTTACCAATGACGGTGGCCTGGTTTATATATTCCATGGAAATATGAATTTTAGCCTTCAAAATGTATAAACACCACATTCTAAATTACCGCATTCGAATTCCTCTTTACAGAAAGCAGTAATTATACACGGCCGTGATTGGGGAGGAAGGTGTACATTTGTAAGCACTCATACAAGAGTCTCCCATCACTCGCAACTCATCAACATGTTGTCCCGCACTTACTGCTCATCCTGTCATTTGGTTCCATCATAGAAGCTTCCTCTTTTATGATTTCTGTTTTCATCATTGCTTGACGAGCCTGCTGCTCTAGTCCAGCAAACATCTGCTCCCCTGCCGTGGAAACAATGAGACATTGTTACAAATCTTTGTATGGTACAAGCATGAAATAAGGAAGTTCACATGACGCTTATACTACCCATTGTTATTTGATAACTAGAAGAGCAAAGAGCACTAATGGGTATTATATGTACATACAGTGAGGGGAATTTATCAAAGCTGGAGCAGACAAAATCTGGAGCAGCTGTGGATGGCATCCACCTTTCATTTTCAAGGCTTAACTAAACAAAGAAGCTGATTGGTTGCCATAGGCAACTGCTCCAGATTTTATTCCTTTTATTAAAGCAGAAATCCAGGGAAAAAGCGGACCTTTACACTCAAAAATCAAATTCTTCCAATGCATCCCTCTATGCATGATGATTAATAATAACACGGACATGTCCGGTGTAAAATGCTGGGATTGCGAAATACTTGCAGAGCATTCATTTCCTGCTTTGAAAGGGCAAAATGACTTCAGTTTGCCAAAGCAATGCACACTGGGCTTGCCTTGTCATCGGCAGAGCATTGCTGGGAAATCTCATCTGTAATCTCAGGAGATCTCAGGGAAAGGCATTTTCATCCCATGAGATGAGGTGCATGGTCACATGTCCTAGTCACATGTGCCAGAAATCCAGGAAGGTATAGGAGAGCTAGTAATCTGCCCTTAGTGAACATGGCCACTGTCAGAAGAGGTTTCCTGTAAGCCCAGCAACAGTTGCATTACAGCATAGGTCTAGCACCATTCAGAAGAATTTCATATAAAGGGTTTTCCCATTATTCCTTTCACCAGATTACAATGGAAACCGGTGAACAGGTCAGTATAACTCCCTGAATAAATCACCACTTATCATGGGACGTGATCCAAGCTGTAGATTAAGGGTAGGCAACCTCGGCACCCCACCTGTTGTGGAACTGCAGGTCCCATGAGGCACTGCAAAACTCACAGGAGGCAGAGGCATGACAGGATTTGTAGTTTCACCACCGCTGGAGTGCCGAGGTTGCCTACCCTTGCTGTAGAAGGCAGCTGGATTAGGGCGCTTTCACTAATGTATACATAATGTACAGTAGGTGTGTCTCGTTGCATACAATAGTACAGGAGATCCATTTTACCAGTAAATTACAGGTGAAAGTCTTCCCGATACTCACACTGTACTTTATTTGGAGTTGTTTGTTTCCTCCGGGACATTTTATGACTAAATGCTTCACATCCACGCTGTCCCTCTACACACAGCAGCTCTGAAATGACAAAGAAAGGCAACTTCAACACACGGACTGCAAATCACATTTGTATTAAAGCCAATGGGGTCATGCACCAGGAAAATGATATAACGTTGTGACACATATATAGGAGTTACCTGCCAAAGGATTTGCCATGTTGTCCCGCCAGTCCTGAGATTTGCACAGCCCTGCCATGCAGCACAGCACAGCCTACTGGCCTGCACGTTCTTTACTGCACTCCAATTTGGTCACCTATCTTCTCCTAGCCTGTGATTGGACAGTGAAGGAGCAGCAGCATACTGGTGAGTCTTTCCTTTGCTTACTCTGCCTTTTCCTCCATCAACACGTTTCTATGCAGCACACCTGCTTGGTTCCCAGTGTTGCCCCTCCCGCTCCCTGTCTGCTGGATAGGGGATTACAAATGCTGACACCTCTGGCAAAAAGAGAGTTTAGTAGCAGCAGTCCTATGCGGAACCTAACTAATTGAAGCAGAAGTAAACTCCGGATACAAGAGTCTTAGAAGTCTCATACACTAGAAATCACTTTAGAAGTCTCTTTTGCGATAAAACGTTTTACTTATCTTCTAGCATTTTTTTTTTTTTATCAGTAGACAGACTGCCGTGCATGCACAGTACAGTGCGCGGCCAATGGGGTCATGCACAGTACAGTGCAGGGCCAATGGGGTCATGCACAGTACAGTGCACGGCCAATGGGGTCATGCACAGTACAGTGCGCGGCCAATGGGGTCATGAACAGTACAGTGTATGTCTCCTTAAGGAAGGCACCCTTCCAGTCCCTGAAATGTTGGTGTCACTATGTCTCCACGAGGAAGGCGCCCTTCAAGTCCCCGAAATGTTGATGTCACTATGTCTCCTCAAGGAAGGCACCCTTCAAGTCCCCGAAATGTTGTTGTCACTATGTCTCCTCGAGGAAGGCACCCTTCCAGTCCCCGAAATGTTGGTGTCACTATGTCTCCTCGAGGAAGGCACCCTTCCAGTCCCCGAAATGTTGGTGTCACTATGTCTCCTCGAGGAAGGCACCCTTCCAGTCCCCGAAATGTTGGTGTCACTATGTCTCCTCGAGGAAGGCACCCTTCCAGTCCCCGAAATGTTGGTGTCACTATGTCTCCTCGAGGAAGGCACCCTTCCAGTCCCCGAAATGTTGGTGTCACTATGTCTCCTCGAGGAAGGCACCCTTCCAGTCCCCGAAATGTTGGTGTCACTATGTCTCCTCGAGGAAGGCACCCTTCCAGTCCCCGAAATGTTGGTGTCACTATGTCTCCTCGAGGAAGGCACCCTTCCAGTCCCCGAAATGTTGTTGTCACTATGTCTCCTCAAGGAAGGCACCCTTTAAGTCCCTGAAATGTTCTTGTCACTATGTCTCCTCAAGGAAGGTGCCCTTCAAGTCCCTGAAATGTTGATGTCACTATGTCTCCTCAAGGAAGGTGCCCTTCAAGTCCCTGAAATGTTGTCACTATGTCTCCTCGAGGAAGGCACCCTTCAAGTCCCCTAAATGTTGTCACTATGTCTTCTCGAGGAAGGCACCCTTCAAGTCCCCTAAATGTTGGCGTCACCATGTCTCCTTAAGAATAGCACCCTGAAACACACTCTTATGACTCTGTGGCACTGTTTTTCCAATAATATACCTAAAAGCCATTTATATGGAGTGCTGGTGACCTAGAATCTTCTCATCGGGAGGCCGGACCTCACGACACTGGAGGAGAGCACACCCAGAGGTAAGCGAGTCACAATAGTTATGGCATATGCCGGTCGCCCTCACTACCTAAGCTGGAGATGGCTGGGGGAAGCTCTTGCTGCCATAATGTGAATCCATGCACAGCATACTCACTAAATATGGCGGGCTTACCCCTAACTCTGCTCTGCTCCCCACCTGTCATCTCCTCCTCCTTCTTCCCTCTTTGGCCATCAAGTATCCAACGTTGATTCGCAAGTAGATCTCACAGATAGACGCTGATAGTCTACCCCAGGGGTAGGCAACCTTGGCGCTCCAGGTGTTGTGGAACTACAAGTCCCATGATGCACTGCAAGACTCTGACAGCCACAGGCATGACTCCCAGTGGCAGAAGCATGACGGGATTTGTAGTGTCGGCACAGCTGGCATGCCGAGGTCGCCTACCCTTGGTCTGCGCTGCATTGCGCATGCACCGCAGCCAGTGAGCACTTTATTTTGGCATAAGAACCATACAAAACCCACGGACTGATTTTTAGGACTTCAGTCCCACGTTAGTCGCTGGTGATTTTAGCAACGTGACTGGGCGACAAATAAATCACCCGTGTGGCGAGGGCGAAGATGCTCCCAGGATACAAATCTCTCCCAGGTCAGCCGTTAGCGATCAGGTACGTATGGTCGATGACGACTGCCGCTTCAAAACAAAGCCGCAGCCATAACTGAACCGGTCACCGACCGCATATCATACAGCCAATAAAAAAAAAAAAAAATGCTTCCAATGAATGGCTGCAAAAAAGACCCCTCACAACCCCAACCCATTCTGCAAATGTGACCCCATAGAAAACCTGCTGTGGCCTCACAGTGCACCATTGCAGGAAGATTATGGAGCATGCATGGTGCAGGGCTGCACGGATCCCATCCCCCACCCTGCAACCTGCACAGCTCACCAGTCTGCTGCATTAGAATGGGAGGGGGCTTCTCTCCAGGAAGGACACACATTACAATGGCACTGCGATATACCGACAGAGGGCCGAGCGCTGGGCCGGCAGACACCTACCTGCATGGTGTCCCGGTCACCCCCGGAGCGGCCCCCGGTATCCGGGTGTGTCCCGGCTCCAGGCAGACGGCGGCCGCTTGATTCTAGAGGGAGAGAGGCCCTCTGATGACGTCGGCGTCACATGACCCGGCTAGAGGGGAGAAGGAGGAGGAGGGGGGTAGCATTGTGTCTGATGATGGCGGCCTGGGGCTCAGTGTCAGCCTGTTATACACACACAGAAGACATATATCACACATTTCCTACTGATTTACAATACAAGGATAATTGTATAACATTAAAGTGTATGTAAAGCCAAACTTTTTTTTTTAAGTAAAAAAGAAAGGTAAAATCCCTTTATTTTTTTGCTGTCTGTGATCCCCTGACATTTCCCTCCACTTCCTGTCACTGAGACTCAACAAGAAAAAGCGTTGGCCTTACACTGCCCGAGTCCTTCTGACTCGACCAAATTTTGAGGCGGCGACAAAAGTCTATTTTTCAGTCTACCGGAGCAAAAGAGCTGCGGTTGTTCAGGCCGCAGTGGGCCTCATCCTTTTTATTCGGAGCAGATGGGTGAATGTAGCGCTTTTTTCTCCCCCAGCCCACCGGGGTGAGCTAAAAAGAACTGCCAGTCTAGGGCAGCTAAAATCTCCTCGGAGTGAAGGGGCTCATGCATGTGAGCGTCTGGGGCCTATAATGGGGTGTATTGCCCTGCCCAGGGGGCCACTGGAGCCTCATACAGCCGCCATTAGAAAGCAATGGCTGTATGTGGGTGTACGCTGGCACTTCAGTAAACATGCTCATGTGTACGGGCGCGCAACCCTGAGCGCAGACAGTCTGCATTCAGGGTTGTACATCCGTGTGCATTGGCATGCTTACTCAGGTACCAGTGTATGTCCATGTACAGCTGCATACAGCCATTGGCGGCTTTCTTAGGCTACTGTGGCCCCTGGGCGGGGAAATACACCCGATTATAGGGCCTCAGGTGCATGTGCCCTAAAGTTTATGTAAATCCTAACAATCAACTGTTGCTGTGTTAAATATACCATTCGGCAAGCAGAGCTAAATGTAGAGCGGGGAAGTCGGCGCTCATATTGTACAAGTGATTCTTGGTAATGCCGCGGAGATCACTTGTATGCAGCCTGCAGGTCCGTCTGTCCCATCCATGGTCCACCCCGCTGCAGGCCGCCTCTCTCTCCCCGCAGGCCGCCTCTTTCCCCAGCAGCCGCCTCTCTCCCCGCCGGGCCACCTCTCTCTCCGCCGGCCGCCTCTCTCCCCGCCATGGTTTTTAGGGTTCCCCACTCTTCTGGGGGACCACGGCAAAGTAGTTCAGGATAGAGAGCGGGGAGCAGACCGCTCTGCTCCATGTGAACACTGAGACAGGAACGCTGCACTCGCAGCCTTCCCATCTCAGCTGTCACAGGAGAGCCAGCACAGTGCTGCGCTCAAACTCCTGTATTGGAGGTGACAGGTTCTCTTTATTGAACCTGTCACTTCCAATACAGGCGTTTGAGCAAAATAAGAAATAATT